TCCTAGGAGCACGTTTTTGTCTAACAGAAAAAAATAATTTAGTCGCATCTTTGGGGATTCCTTTCCTCATGTTGTGTCAGGGCTTTTAAATTTTTAAAAACTCTCTCTCTCTCCCTCCGTTCCTCCCTCCACCATCTCCCTCTCATTCTGTTGTTCCCTTCCTCCCCCCCCCCCCGCCCCCCCCAGGGTTTCTCTGTGTAGACATGGCTGTCCTGGAACTCATGCTGTAGACCAACCAGCTACCTGCCTTCTATCCAGACCAAGAGTTAAGCAAGCAGTTTCAGTGTGGTGGTTTGAATAGCAACAGCCCCCATAGGTTCATATATTTATATGCCTAGGCATCAGGGAGTACCTCTCTTTGAGAAAGACTAGGTATGGCCTTGGAAGAAGAGTGTCACTGGCGTGGACTTTGGGGTTTCAAAAGCCCACACAAGGCCCAGTGTTACTCTCTGCCTACAGATCAGAATATAGCCCTTAGCTACTGCTCTAGCGCCTGCCTGCATGTAACCACGCCATGATAGTGGACTTAACCTCTAAAATAGTAAGCCCCCAGTTAAATGCTTTCTCTTATTAGAATTGCCTTGGCCAAGGTGTCTCTTCACAGCAATAGAACAGTCACTAAGACATCTAGTAAGGGAGCAAGGTTACATTTAGAGTGTCTTCAATATAAGAAACCTCAAGTGAACAGCGGCTTCCTAATGTTCTAATGCCTAATGTAATAAACAATGTTGCCGAGACCCTAGGACCTCAGGGCATCAGCTTGACGGAAATATACAGAATGCTAATATATAGACATGAGCTACTATGTGGATTTAATAATAGCCGGATGACTGGAGAAACATTAGGGCTAAGTATATTGGGCACGACAATTCCAGAAGAAACTAGAATATGAATCTATGTAAGGAAGATCTCATCAGTGGAGAGAGGTATCATCCAGTTGGCTCAAGGCTGGGAAAGGGACAGAAAAATGAATCCCCACCTATCAGCTGAGACATTCTTCCCTTCTCTTGGATGTCAGAAAGGGGCCTTTAGCCTCAGACTCAAAATTATACTATTGACTTTGGACTTGGTTCCAAGTCCTTTTGACTTGGAATGAGCCCCACTACCAATTGCCCCCATTATCTGCTTGGTAGACAAGCTTATGTTAGACTTAACCTCCATGATTGCAAGAGCCAATTTAAAAAAAAAAAAAAACCACCTTTAATGTTTCTAGCTCAGTCTCTCTAGCATGCAAACCAAAATTCAACTGACCTCATGTCCTTAGCCAGATTTCTATCGACCATCAGTCTTTGTATGAAACTTATCATGCTTCCTTTCTTAATTATTCTGGACCATCTGGCAGTCTTCGATGCCAGCTGCCCTAATTGCTTTCTTTTGCTGTGATAAAACACTGACCAAAACCAATTTGGGGAGGAAAGAGTTTATTTAGCTGACAGTCCACCATTTAAGGTAAACCAAGAACTGAAGCAGAGACCATGGAGGAACACTGCCTACTGGCTCGTTCCCAGGCTCAAGTTCAGCTACCATGTTTTTATTTTCTTTTTGGCTTTTTGAGACTGGGTGTCTACAGCTTTGGAGCCTGCCCTGGAACTAGCTCTTGTAGACCAGGCTGGCCTCGAACTCACAGAGATCTGCCTGCCTCTGCTACCATTCTTACATACCCTAGGCTCACCTGCCTAGCAATGGCACCGCCCACGGTGGGCTGGACCCTCCCACATCAATTAGTAATCAAGTTGGTGGCGCACGCCTTTAATCCCAGCACTCGGGAGGCAGAGGCAGGTGAATCTCTGTGAGTTCGAGACCAGCCTGGTCTACAGAGCTAGTTCCAGGACAGGCTCCAAAGCCACAGAGAAACCCTGTCTCGAAAAACCAAAAAAAAAAAAAAAAAAAAAAAAAAAAAAAAAGAAAATGCCCCGCAGATATACCCACAGGCCAACCTGGAGGAGACAATTCCTTAATTTCAGTTCTTTCTTCTTAGGTGTGTCGAGTTGAGGACAGAAGCCAATGATAACACCAGCTGGAAACACATCAGTCTTTCCTACATCTGGGCTGTTCTGCACATCACTGACCATCATCTGATCCCCCACAGACGTTACCAGACCTTCCCTCAACCACAATGTTAGCTAAAATGGACTGTGGTTTATTTTGTTCATTTCAATAACCTCTGGATCTCAATGTCTCAAGATCATGGAGTCTTCAGCCATTCGGTTTTAAAATCTACTCACACTCGGGCAGTAAGAAAAATAAATTTATTGAGGGTTCCAAAGGAACTTCATGGAGAGGGAAGAAGTACAGACAAGATAAAGGGGAGAAAAAAAAAAGATAAAGGGGAGAGAAAGTTGGCAGGGAGTAAGCACTTCTATCTGGTGAGGCAGGGCAGTCAATGACTTTATTTTCTCTGCATGTAAGATGCATTCTGGAAAGGGCTTCCTCTGCTGAAGACCCCAACACAGCATCCCCAGCCTCCCACATCTCCCTAGAGCAGTGGTTCTCAACCTTCCTAATGTTGCAGCCCTTTGATACAGTTCCTCATGGTGACTCCAATCAGAAAATGATTTCATTACTATCCGTAACTGTAACTTTGCTATTGTTCTGAATCATAATGTAAATATTTTTTGAGACAGAAAAGGTTTGCCAAAGGGTGTGAGACTCACAGGTTGAGAACCAAATTGTTCTGACCTAGAACAACAATTTCACTGTAAATCTGAATTTGTAGACGGAGCCTGAGTAGGATATACCTGGCCCAGGCACCATGGCTACAGGAATAGACGGCATAGGAAGAGATAACAATATCTGCCAGCAAATGGGGTTCAGTTTCTCAGGGATACTTTGTTCAAAGATAAAACTATTCAACGGTCATTTATTAACGTTAGGCATATTCAAACTTTTGTTAAATGTTTAACTTGGAAGTATCCCATTGAGAAAACTACTCCATTTTAATAACCTCATTTGAGGGAGTCTTTAATGGTTGGCAGAATTCATTTCAGTTCAGTCAGTGGAGTTTCTAACCATCCCATTTGACATCGATTCCTTAAGCAATTTAACAGCACAGGCATTTGAGAAATCTAACTCGAAACAAACAAACCTTCCTATATGTTTAAGTCTGAGTTAACATAATAAATTAAACATAAATGAATTCTCAGCAATATTTCATTATTTTTGCATCCATGGTAAAACATCAAAAACTTCCCAACTAAGCAGCACAAGTGTAAGAATTCATTAGGCATTTGACTCCTAAGGCCAACATTACATATTGAAATATGTCAATTATGTTAAAACACTTCATAAAGCAAGTAATAGTTTTAATGAATATAAAAACAACCCCTAAATTGGGTGTGGTAGCTCATATTTTTAATCCCAACACTTGGGAGGCAGAGGTACGGATCTCTGAGAGTTTAAGGCCAGCCTGGTGACAGAGTGAGTTCCAGGACAGCCAGGGATAAACAGGGAAACCCTGTCTCAAAAAAAAAAAAAAAAAAAAAAAAAAAAAAAAAAACCAAACAAAACCTCCTGAACATAATTGCACTGAAGATTGTGGGAAATGCTTCCTAGTCTTAAGGGTTTGTGATTGCTATAAATATTACACAAGAGTTGCAGCACTCTCAAAGGGAGCAAGTCCCCAGCGGGCGAGCCCAGAACAGGGATGATAAGGAACTCAAGATTGGGGAACTGAGTGACTTGAATTAATTCACTGTTAAAAGAGAATGATTTGACACTTAAAAACAGTTGTGATGAGAATAATGGTTAGGAAATCCTCCAGAGCTGCACAGGGACAGCAGCTTCAGGTAGAATCCTAACTGTAGTGCACACCCTGCACACTTAGGAAGACTTACTTAAATGGTTGTACTTAAGTAGGTCAACCCTTTCAACCTTAAAGCACAAGCTCTCATTTGTGACTAATGTAACTACTCAAAAAGGCAAACTCCAAGTTCTCACAAGACACCATACTGTAGAACTGTTTCAGCGCACTAAAGGGAACCCTATTGTTGAACTTAAACACCAGAACATTCCAGACATATCCCCACTTCTGCTTTAAGGAATCTAAGGTTATAAAACTGAGATTATGAGCACTCATTACAAAAATCTTTCCCCAACGACTCCTTCAGCTCAGGATGCCGTCATCAAACACATCCTAACCTAAGTAGGGGAGCTAAAGAAAGAGAGGGAAGTAATGGCTGTGGACCAGTATGCTGGTCACAAGTCACTGGCCATCGGGAATTGACACACCTCAGAAAGTCAAAAAGAAAAGAGTCTTTTTATAAAAAAAAATAAGGTTTACAATGAACTTTCAAAACCACATTTTTTCAAAGCAAACTGCTCCCATTTAGGGTTCAGACCCACAACATAAAGAACAGAGAAAAAGAAGAGTAGGTACAGGAAAGAGAACTGTTCTGGAGGGCCACACACACAGACCCACTCGGAACATGCGCACAGGCTGACGGGCCGTTACCATGAGGGCAGGACAGCCTTCTCACAGACTGAGGCAGGTGAAGCTGGAGGGAAGGCAGCACACTAGGATGGACTGGTTCAGTCAGATTGCTCTGGACTTTGTCCTGATAAGCAGACTAAAGACAACACCGTGGAGAGCACAGTTCATAGGTAAGCAAGGACTACAACACCCTAACTATGCTTCCAGGAGCAACAGTCTATGATCTGCCACACTTGGAAGACAGTCCCACAAACAGCTGGGGAGAATGTGTGACCCAGGACTTCAAGGATAACAGCAAAAGAGACCAAAGTTCTCAGGGGCACTGCATACAGAGAAAGAGGTTCTGCTGTTGCTGTTTGTTCTTGATATTTCCCAGGCTAGACGTAGAAACAAAACAAAAACCAAGGTGCTGTTCCCTTGGCAGGACTCTGCCCCATAGCAACCAAGTTTGACTCCATTAAAATCAGTATCAACTCATCCAGGGTGGACAAAACACTGTGACTAAACACCTAAAACCTTCCCGCAGAAGATGCCACAAAATCAACCAAATTAATACATAGAAAACCATGTCTTCAAACAGGTACTTATTTCGCAATTATAATTAATCCAGTCTCTTCCATAAAACTCCTGTAAATTATCTCTTTGAATGTCTTGCAGATGCCGTCTTCTCAGCGATTAAGAGTCAAACAACTCCCAGTTAGGAGCTCTTGTCCGCATCAGTGGGCTGACAAAGTGTCTCTGTCTTCTCCTCCTCTGGGAGTTCAGTAGGCACGTGCTCTGCCACAGGGGCGCTGTTGTTCCTCGTCATGGTGGCAAACAGCATGTCCATCATCCCCAAGGTTTCCAGGAGTTCTCTTTGGTAATCGATTTCTTTTTCTACGAGTCCTTGAAGTACTATGAACTTTTTATCAACTATGGGTGACTGGCCAATCACAGGCAGATATATATCTACAAAGGGACAGAAAGTATATTAACTAGAAACATTTTCTGTGGGTGAAATCAATATTTAGAAACAGTATGATGCTAAATATAAAGACATTGAATACCAGTATTTTTAATAATTAAGTTGTAATTTATAGAAAGCATAACAATCCATCTGATTAAATGAATTTTGAAAAGAAATAATTATATAAAATACAGGGTATGGGGTCTTATTTTCATTTTCATGTTAAAAACTACATGACTGGGGGCTGGGGAAAGTGCTTGCTTTGCAAACAGTTAAGATCTGAATTTGATTCCCAGAACCCATAGAAAAGACAAGAAAAAGAAGCTGGACACCTGGCACACAACTGGAACCCAGCCCTGGGGAAGTAGAGACGGGAAGACCCGAGGCTGGCCGGCCACCAGCTGAGCTCTACTGAGCTTCAGCATCAGTGACAGAACCCGTCTCGGAAGAACAGATGGAGAAGGATGGAGGAAGCCCCAGGATGCCGACATGTGGCAAATCTGAAACAGAGTATTAGGTTCGGGGCTGCAAGAAGGAATGGACCACATGAAAAGGCATGAGTAAGTCCCAGGCAGGACCAAGGGAAATCCAGAAACACTGAACTTTAGATCTGTAAATGAAACAAAGGACCCAGAAGCAGACAGGGTGAATCCTCCTCAGTGCGGCTGTCAGCAAGAGAGAAAAAGACCGCTTCAGTGGGCTCCAGTCACACATCCGGCTCTCTAGAGAAAGACTCGGTGGGCTCCAGTCACACACCCGGCCCTCTAGAAAAAGAGTCGGTGGGCTCCAGTCACACAACCGGCCCTCTAGAGAAAGTCGGTAGGCTCCAGTCACACAACTGACCCTCTAAAAAGAGCTGTGACTCAAGTGGCAAGCATGCCCTAGTTTGTTCATGCTTGTCATGGGAAGGAACCATCTTAATCTCTTCCAGCCAGGGGCCAGGAGCATCTGCATTTTCTCATTTCTAAACCCCAAAGGTCTCTCTACTCTACTGGATAAGAAAGTAGCCATCAAAAAAATCCATATGGACTTGGGAAATGGTTGTGACTTGGATACTACACCAGAGACAAGGACTAAACTAAAGCACCCTCGACTTTTCGCCGCAGCTGAAAGCTGCAAGAAGAAGAATAACAGACCTTGCATGGGAACGCAAGGGAGGAAGGGGCTGTGGCAGAGACTGGCCCGGCGGCAGAGCACTCAGCATCACTCAGTGGTGGTGCAGAAGCCACCGGCACGAGTCCGCTCGGCCTGACTGCTTTCTACATTCTGAGCCCCAGACTACACAGAAACGCAGCCCCTGTGTGGTGTTTCCACGCCCACACTGGTACTGGTAGAGTACCTCTGATGTAAAGTGGTCCCCAGCCTGGTGGTCCCCAGCTCATGAGGGCGGCCTGAGGGTAGACTCTGCATAACCCAACTGTTGAGTCTGCCCGCAGGTGTGCAGAGCTCAGCCCAGCGACAGCCACCCCCATCTCCTCAGCAGGAAGAGATGGCTGTCCCGCATTGTTGTGTACTACACTGCTCCACTTCCTTCTCCCTCGCTATGGTTGCTCACTTACACCCTAAGTACTTCTTCTCCAATCCTGCTGCTTCTCTTTCCTTTCACTAACTTCCGCTGTTTATTTTTACCTTGGCTGAGTTTTAAATTCCTAGCTAACCCTATCACACCGTCGGGCCTCACATGTCCCTCCTTCCTGGGGGTACAGTTGTTCTCGGGTGGTTTGTTACGTGTAAATATGGGTTTGGCTTTCAGCCACTGTGTGTGTAGTAGGCAGAGATGTGAAGCAAAGGTGTCCTTCCATACAGACGCAGCAGCGATTCCATCCCCAGATGTGCGGTCACAATGGAGAACAGAAGACAAGCGGAGCGAGCAGTGTGCGTCCTCCACAAGGTACTAACTCCTCATCAGGTGGCCCTGAAGCTACTGAGATAGCTGAATACCTAACAAAGACAATGACCTCAAAGAGGCAACCATGGAACAGATGAAGGAAGGAAACAGTCAGACCAACGACACTGACAAGGAATTCCTCAGAGAGACTCTAAGAAAAACCAAATGGAAACCTTAGATATGAAAGATTCAATAAATCAAATCACAGTGGAAAACATTTGGAGTAAGTCAAGCAAGAGATGGGAGATTGTGGGTTGAGGAATTATCATATCCATCACACACACTGTCAACAACCAAAGCAAATACATTCACAGCTTTCAAGAACTTTGGGGCATGACAAAGGGAAAAAAATCTAAGAGTCTTCACTGTAGAAGCATACAGAATCTAGGCAGTGAAATTGAAGCAGTAAATTTCAAAGTCCAGGGAAACATACAGCTATCCAAATACAAGGGCACTCAGACCCTAAACACACATCCCTAGAGGAGAACCCTCTGTATCACACTACAGCTAGCATGGAACAAGACCACCACACACAGCAGGACCAAATTACTCACGGAGGTGAGCTCAGCACTAGAACATCAGCCCTTTTCAGAAAAGAAAAGGCAACAGGGAGTGATGTCAATCCTAAGAGGAATAACTACCAACCAAGAGAATTACATCCAGTGAAGCCACCTTTAAAACTGACGGAGAGGGTAGACTAGAGCGAACCATGGCCACTAAACCAGCATAAGGAAGACGACACTGAAGGAAAGCCACAATCACACGAGCTTGAGAAAATTCGCATCAAGAGAAAACAGATGAGCAAAAGAGGATTAGGAGAGAATCAGAGGTTTTCAATCCAATAAACCAGCAAATAAATCAAAGATGAATGAACAAGGAAGAAAAGAACAAAGATCAGTTAGGGAAACACGAGAATCTTATAGGAATTAGCACACACCTCTCAGTTCTAACTCCAAATACCAACTCTGGATTTCCTTCTCCAATTGAAGCATGCAGACATAGCTGTGCATAGTGGCAGATGCCTATAATGCCAGCAGTTGGGGCACAAACCTGGCCATACACACCTTCATATAAGCCATATAAGAATGTAAATATCTGGGCTGGAGAAATGGCTCAGTGGTTAAGAGCATTGCCTGCTCTTCCAAAGGTCCTGAGTTCAATTCCCAGCAACCACATGGTGGCTCACAACCACCTGTAAAGAGGTCTGGCGCCGTCTTCTGGTCTTCAGGCATACAGACAGAATATTGTATACATAATAAATAAATATTAAAAAAAAAAGAATGTAAAAATCCACCACCCTTATATGTTCATGGAAAAAACTTTCTTAAACTGTAATTATCTTAGTCCAGCCAATTCAAATCTGCCACTCTAATATTTTAATTGCACCTGTACCCCTAGGTTTTCTGTTTCAGGTTCTTTAATTTTTTTCCAAACGCTGAGGCTCAAGCTCAGGCGCCTGACAGATGGACGTGCTGACAGATGTTCTGCTGCTGAGCTCAGGCCCAGCACCTCGGCTTTCCCAAGCCTGCTGGAATGTCTCTCTTACAACTACTCACCAATGATTATCTCAGCAGCGCGAATCAAAACAGGGGCAAATCTCGGCTGAGACAGATTCCTACAAAGCAAAACTTCTGATTAATGAATCTTGCAAGGCCTGTCCCTGGCGCTCAAGCGGGCTTTTGGGAACCTGTTCCCCATGCAGAGTTGCCTCGCCCAGCACTGATGCATGGGGAGGAGCTTGGTCCTGCCTCAACTTGATGTTTTGTTGACTCCCATGGAAGACTGAGGAGGAGTGGATGGGGGAAGGGAGAGGGAAGAAGAGGAGAGGAAGGGGGAAAAACTGTGGTTGGAATGTAAAATAAAAAAAAATTTTAATAATAAAAATAGATAAATTAAAAAAGAAAAACATCCCTAAAACAAACTCTAATTGTTCCACCAATTCTCTGTAAAGAGCAAACTAAAAGTAGGTGTCTCTCACTGGGTAATAATGGAGGATTTCAGCCACAAAATCCAAGTCAAGCATACCTTATCAAAAAGTTCAGAACCCGGGTAATCTCCTTCTCATCCCGACCTGCAAGAGCATTGGCAAGGACTCCTCTCCGATTCAATTCCTTTATGATGGAAACTGTAACCTCGGGCGTCTTTATTACACAATTAGGCTAGAAAATGTTTAGAGTCAGTACAGTCAAAAAGACAGACGAGAGAAAGATCACTACCCTGCACTGAACTACCAAACTTATCTTCACAATCCCAAGTCATGGTAAATCAAACCCTTCGTCAAGACGGTTCCCCACGTCCTTTCCCTTTTTTTCTGACAGGGTCTCACTTTACAAGCCACAGGGGGCCTTGAACTTTATTCTGTAGCCCAGCTTGACCTCAAACACGTGATTTGCCTGCCTCAGCCTCCCAAGTGCTATGATTAGAGGCAAGAGGCATAATACCAGAGACTATTTTTGTTTGGTTTTGTTTTGTTTGAGACAGGGTTTCTCTGTATAATCCTGGAACTCACTCTATAGATCAGGCTGGCCTTGAACTAGAGATTGGCTGCCTAAGGCTCTGGAGTGCAGGGATTAAAGGTGTGTTCCACCACTAGCTAAGCACGGCAGCAGACACCGCAGATCTCAATGCCGGGAAGAAAACCAAGGGGATCCTGAGGGCTCATTGGCCATCCAGCCAGCCACCTGGTGAGCTCCTAGTTCAGTAACAGACCCTGCCTCGGAAGGACTTTTTATCACCTGACACAAGCCAGGGTCATCTGAAAAGAGAGAATGTCAGTTGAAAAATGCCTCCATTATACTAGCCTGTGGACAAGACTATGGGAATATTTTCTTGATGTGGGTGCCCAGCTCACTGTGGTGGTGTCCCCCTTGGCAGGTGGTTTTGGGCTGTTCAACAAAGCAGGCTGAGCAAGCCACGAGGAACAAGCCAGTAAGCAGTGCTCCTCCATGGTCTCCACTTCAGCTCCTGCTTCCAGGTCTCTCTGCCTTGAGATCCTGTCCTGACTTCTGAACCTCCTGATGCACTGTAAACTCTTTTCCTGCCCAGACTGCTTTGGCCTCGCTCTTTACACAGCAAAGGAAGCAGACTAAGATACACATGATCTCAAGAAGATGGACAACAACTGAGGCAAACACCCAGCACTGATCTCTGGCCTTCCCACATGCATACACATGGACCCTGCCCCCCCCCCCCCCCGCTACACACACACACACAAAATTAAAACCTAGTTAAGTGGAAAGAACGTGTTTCTCACTTACCTCAAGGACTCTGTCAAGTGCCTTTGATATTCGAAAACTTTTCAGGTCCCTGTCATACCATTCTAGGTGCTTCTTTGCTGGTCTGTTGATCATGATGTCATCCTGAATGAAAAAGCAAATTTATAGAGGAAGAAAATTACTATCTATACAGTTCCATTAAAATAAATTTTTTCCATTAGAGCTAGCCCTGGTGATAGGAGTGAGGGGGACCCAGATCTGAGGGGCCAAGAGCAGGAGAGCTTGCTATAGGCTGCATCGGGTGAGCTGGCCAAGGCAGAGCGGAAGAGCTCATCCGGGTTGAGACAACAAGAGAACGCTAGTGAGTTGACCAATCCAGATACCACCCACGCCTACAACCAGGCTTACGAGTTGGCCCACCGCAGCATCCACCAAATCTATGAACCGTTGGAGCATGTGAAGGGGATGAACCTGCAGATCCCAAACAGCAGGATCTCCATAACACAGGACAACAGGATATCCAAGAGGAGTCCCAAAGACAGCCATTAATTATAGTGTGGCAGAAACCAGAGGCCTCGAGCCAGATCGATGACTCGTGGCAATGAACACTTGCAAGTAAAGATGAACAGACTGAACGGTAAACTGTGTCTCAACTGACCACACTACAAGTTCCATGACAAGAGTCTCCTTTATTTGTTTTGTTTGGTTTTCTTTTAAATTTGGTTTTGTTTTGGAGGAGGCTGCAAGAGCAGGGGACAGTGAGGTAAGTAGGATCAGAGTGCATGATGGGAAATCCACGAATAATCAATAAAAATATATGTAAATAAAAAGAAATGTATTCACAATACAGTGAAACATTTTAAAGTCAGGATGTTTTTATAATACACAACAAATAGTGTTCCTGTGTAATAATAACAGTAATAATCATAATCCAAATGATACACTTTGTCATGTTAATGTGTTCTTATGATGTTTAGCTTATATATATGTAAGTGGCTCTATTGTGAGCAAACTTACTCAAAAAAAAAGATGAATAAGCAGGCAGTATGACTGCATATAAAGAGAAGAAAACAAACTGGAGACTCAGATCTAGTAGTCACAGCTCTGGTGACCACCTGGGCCACCCGAACTTGACAATTCAGTCCCTCTCCAGTCCTAGGAAGATATTACAGCCACACGCGGTTTAGAGGACAAATCCGACACTATTCTGAAAATGGCAAAACACTGTATTAGTTCATGATTCGGGATATTAAGTAGGTAGTCCCTGCTCCCCATTATTCTTCAATAACGTACTATAGCAATCTGGAACCAATTCTGATGGGAAAAAAAGCAAAATAAATGTACCTATTATGAGTCATACTTTGCAGTAAATTCCAGGAATGGGTGAAAATGACCCTTCTAAGAAATGTCATATTTTTAAAATAATAATACATACTTACCTGTTGCTTCATGTAAATCTTTCCTTTAATAAAGGTTCGATATGCAGGCCTCCTTCTCGGGAGAGATTCCTTCTTTGACTCTGATTTCCGGTGTTTAACGCTCAGTATTCCATTGGTCATCCCCACAACTATCGTCTCATCTTCATGCTAACGGTAATCAGAAAAATCAGTCTATTTTTAACCAACATTTTATAGTACCTTTGACTCAAAACAGCATTTATACCATGCCTGCTACTTCTTACCCACAGTTCCAGTCAATGCAGACACTCCTAACAATGATCTACCCAAAATGTTATCGCAAAACCACCGTCAGGACGTCAGGACGTCAGGACGTCAGGACGTCAGGACGGACCTTCTCTCCCTCTACAGCACTGCCAGCGAAGCGCATGGGATCAGAGTGCTGATGTCGGCTGCTCATGCTATTAGATGCTGTGACCTCTTGACAAGTGTCAAGGAAGTGTCTGTACTTGGAGTAGAGAGAGGGCTACACAGGGGCATGACTCTCGGAAGCTACTCCCCCACAAGAGCTTCTCTTTACTTTTCCTCCCCAACTTGGACTTCCCATGTAACATTTCAGGTATCTTCTGGCCCAAATGTGGCTCCTCATAAAACCTAACAGTGAACATTCCAGAAAGCACAGTGCTCACTCAGCTGCTCCTGCCCTCTCTGCCTTTTCTGGGGCCAACCTGCCATTCCTGGGCTTTGCAACACCTTGAGTTTGTTGAAGGAAGAGTTAACACCGTCCTAGTCCAGCCTTGGTGTAGGAATTCATGCAGTTATCAGAAAACATCACATCCTAGCAACTGTCTTGACTCAAGCAACTAATATGCTTTATTAAATCCAAAGGTAACCCCAAAGATTCCACTTTACTTTTACTTGATGGGCATGGTGTGTAACAACTTGAAAAGAGCTGAAAGTACATACAGAAAGTGCCAGACTCAAGATGGAAGCTGTGTAGTCAAAGCTGTGGACGACCTTGTAGGAAGTTGTGCTGTAGACCTTGACTTTCCTGGTGAGAAGGAAAAATTCTGTCAAGTCACCTCAGAAATGAGTGAAAATACAAAGTTTCTGGGTTTTTTGGTTTTCATTTTTGTTTTTTTGAGTCAGAGTTTCTCTGTGTACCATTGGAGCCTGTCCTGGAACTCGCTCTGTAGACCATGTTGGCCTTGAATTCACATTGATCCACCTGTCTCTGCTTCCCAAATGCTGGGATTAAAGGCCTGTCACTACTCCCAGCTGTATTTTTATATTTTAAAGAATGTGACCCAGAATGAAATATATCCTCAGAATAAAAACTTCAAAATACATATGTATATATAAAATGGCTTTAAAAGAAACTATAAGAAAATAAGCTATCTCAAAAGATCCGTGTTCAAGTGGGTAAGCAATATTGTTCTAGTGTATAAGCTAAAGCAAGAGATAATTTATTTCTGGGGGAATATAAGTAGTTATATATAAATAAAAGATCAAACTACTTCAAAGCAATAGACTTTTATCCTTTATGAAAACCATTGCAACATTTCTTTAACCACAAATACTGCTAAAAATAACTCAATTTCTCAAGCAGTAAGTGCTAACAATGACACACAAGAAAACTAGAATTTTACCTGTCCAGTGAGCCAGAGAGCAACCTCTGTCCAGAGCTGCTCAGACACAAACACGTCACAGTCTTATGATGATTCTTCAAAGACACAAGCAACTGTCCTCCTTTTAACATGTCCCAGACTTTGACGTAACGACCGCCTGTGGAAAGAAGTAACCGCTTGTGTGATATTCTGCCTACATGCTCAGAATGATGGAGCTCTCAGAGGCACCCTCCCTGAGCTTGGTAAAGCTTCCGGAGCCAGACTTCACGCCCTGACCCCACCCGCCACTGGGAGTGGTGCTTGGTAGAAACCCCTACTCACAGAAGCGTTAGCATGGCTAAGCTACTGCTTATTTCACATCAAGCAGAACAAATAGGGAACTGAAGATATTCCAAGTAAAGCACAATAAATTTGCTGAGGAGAATGCTGGGCCTGTGAGATGGTTCAGTGGGTAAAGGCCCTTCCTGCCAAACCTGATTCCTGGGACCCACATGGTAAGAGACAGCTGGCTCATCTATGTTGTCCTTTGAACACCACTCACGTACACATGTACATATGTACACAAACACACACACATACAAACTAAAAAAATGTAAGGACTACTGTACAGCCATGAAAATCAATAATATAGATACTGCTTCCTAAAAATTTCATGAACCCCCACAAAGACTCAGTAATTTACTCTAAGAATCAAAAAAGGTAATAAAAGGTAACTTAATCTTATGATTTAAAAAATATTTTTTTAGGAGCTGGTGAGATGGCTCAGCAGTTAAGAGCAGTTGCTGCTCTTTCAGAGGACCTGGGTTCAGTTCCCAGCACCCATATGGTGGCTCACAACCATCCATAAATCCAGTTCCAGGGGATCTGACACCCTCTTCTGAACTTTGAGGACACTGAGTGATGTGGTACACAGACATACACATAAAATAAGTTGTAAATACTTTTAATAAAACACCAAGTATAGTGAGGCGGTGGTGGCGCATGCCTTTAATCCCAGCAATACAGAGGCAGAGACAGGTGAATCTCTAAGAGTTCGAGAACAGCCATGGTTACACAGAGAAGCCTTGCCTCAAAAAAAAAAAAAAAGAAAGAAAGAAAGAAAGAAAAGAAAAGAAAAAAAGGAAGAAGAAAAAACAAAAAACAAAAACCATCAAGTAAAAGTCTAATAGGAGACAGTGAAAAAGGAGTGTGTAGAGGAGAATATTGTTCTCATCTGCCCTAGTCAAGGCACTGCACCTATGCTCAACTCAATGCCCACCTTCCCGTTTGAATGCGGCAGCTTACGAGGAGCACAGTTTGCAGTCACTCCTCTAATACAATCTCTCCTCCTCAGGATGTCAGGATGTTAAGAGGCTGCCCAAGACACACAGCTGGTGGCATAGATTTCAACCCTCCCCGTTCAACTTGATTTCGTTTCCACTTCTCAAAACAAGAAAGAATTACATCTGACAATGGCATAAAAAATGTTTTAAGTCAAACAAGTATGAAAACATGTATAAAACAGATTTTTAAAAAGAAGAAATATGAAGCTACAGAGGGCCAGGTAAATAGATTCTTCAGATATCAACAATTTTGCTTTACTGACAAATGAAAAGGTCAGACCACTTCTCCCATTATGACTATAAAAATTCACTTTAGTAAACACATCAAAACCCGTCCAACTCCACTCTGTTGGAAAAGCATCAAGCTTGGCCTATTTCACTCTACATCTGTCCTCTCCAGCATGTGTGCTGTTTGCAGAGTTACAGGAAAGGAGATCAGCATGATTCCAGACCCAAAGGAAGGCTGCCAAAGCTATGCAGCTTTGTTAGCTGGAATAACAGAAGGGGGAAGAGAGCAGACTTGCGTGGTCAGGTGGGACACATATATTACCTAGTAAATTCTCATGCCCCAGGACTTAAAGCCTACCACTCACCATGCTGCCTTGGATAAATTAGTTGATGCTTTCATTAGTCCCTTAATTATTTCTTTTTGTTTTGTTTTGGTTTTTGAGACAGGGTTTCTCTGTAGCTTTGGAGCCTGTCCTGAAACTTGGTCTGTAGACCAGGCTGGCCTTGAACTCACAGAAATCCACCTGCCTCTGCCTCCCAAGTGCTGGGATTAAAGGCATGCGTCACTACTGCCCGGCATTATTTTCTTAATTATAAAACAGAATGCTAACTACCAGGAGGGCTATCTAGCATTAGCGGTGACGTGCAAACAGCAGACAGTGCCAGAGCGGGGCAGACACAGGAAACGACAGTTCTGGCCCTTCCCACTGCCAGGTCGGGTCAGACACAGAAACGACAGTTACTGGCCCTTCCCACTTAGCTGCTGAACAAATACTAAGATATGAAATTCAAGAAACACCAACAATCTACAAATGAAAACTCAAAAAGAAATATCTACTCTCCTTGAGACCAACAACAGTGGTGAAAGCTATTTTGAGAAACGATACCTGAAGACACCAGAAGACCTCCAGAGGGGAAAAGCAGGACACTCTCCACTGGCTGCCCATGCTCGACACAGAGAACATTTTTATTTGTCCGGGCATCAAACATCTTCACAGTGTGATCATATGACCCTGAAATGTAAATGTTTGAATAATGTGAATATTGCTCTTTATAACAATATAAAGTTTGTCTATCCACATACTAAAACTAAAAGGAGAAAAACATTACATGAGATTTTTTGAAAATGCACACATAATTCATAAAGTCAGTACTTCCAAGCCGTCTGCTCCTACCGTTTCTAATCACACAGCACTATGTAATACTACATAGAATCCACTCCTGTCACCATGTCATCATCTGAGAATCTGTACGGGCACTCGCACAAACCGAGCTCCACCTACAGTGCTGCGGCTGCTGGGGCTCTAACAACCAGGGTACCATGAGCCCACTACAACCTGGCACCTATGATGCTGTCAAGCAGCTGAAGGTATTCTCAAACGCATTTAGAGGGAACAAAACCCACTATCAAGAGAAGAAATAGTAAACAAAGAAGAACTGACTTTAATAAAAATCACACACACACACACATACACACACACACACATATATATATATATATATATATATATATATATATATATATATATTATGGTGCTGAGAAATGGACCTAGGGTCTCATGCATACTAGGCACGTGCTCCACCACTGACCCCCATCTATTAAAGAAAATTTAAATCCCTCCACCCTAAAGAATCTACAGCAATAAAGTAGAAGCGATTACCAACCTGTTACAAAAAGGTCTGGGTTCAGTTTGCTAGCACAGCCACACCTCACATAATCAGAATGCTCTTTGAATGTCAGAATTTCTTTGGAGTTTGGAATGTCCCATAATTTAACTGTATAATCATCAGCTCCAGAGACCACATGATACTTGTCAGCTGTAAAATCTACCATATGAACTGCTCTGAAAGATCAAAAACAGATTACAAAAAGGGAAGAACTCCACTGCTTGCATCTTCTAACATAAAATGTTCCTTCCTAGATTAAAAAAAAAAAAAACAAATGAAACAAGCAAAAAGAGTCCTAAGGCCAACAAGAGAGCTCCCTGGGTCAAGGCACTAGCTGACAGGCCTAACGGCCCGAGCTCTGTCTCTGGGACCACCATGATGAAAGGAGAGAACAACTCCAGAATGTGTCCTCTGACTCCACAGGCATGTGCACACCCAAACACACACACGATAAGTAAATAAATACTTAGCTTCAGAAAATAGAAAAGATTTATGAAAGAAAAAATAAGAGAAAAATGGGTGTTTGTATGTAAATGTAATACTATGTCCCAAAGTGTGATACCATGTGACTATTAGATTAGCAAGAATATTACATAACAGAATACAGTCATTAGTGAAACAGGGTTCTAAATGCTGCAACAAAGGTAATTTTTTAAAGTTTTTATTTATTTATTAATTTTATAGAATGATGTTTCATCTGCATGGGTGTCTGTGCACTACACGCACACCTGGTGCCCTCAGATGTCCTGGGACTGGGCTTACAGACAGTTGTGAGCCACCGTGTGGGGGCTGGAAACTGAACCTCTGCGAGAGCAGCAAGGCTCTTAGCCACTGAGCCATCTCTCCAGCTCTGCAAAGGCACACTTTTTAAAACACAACAAAGAGCTCTTTGAAAAGACTTGAGAAAGACTAGCTATGAAGAGTTTCTGTTTTGAGTGTTTCAATGATGGGCACAAACATCCTGACAGTTTGCAGTTAGAAAAAGAAAATAAAAAGAAACACTTGGATATTTTATATCAATAGCAGATTTCAGCAATGACTCCAGTGAGCCTGAAACAAAAGTCAGAAACCTGAATTTATCAAGGGGCAAATACCAGACATCAAAGAAAACAAAGGCAGCGTGACTTCAGCTAAGAGGGTCTGAGCCAGCCGAGCCGACAGGATCACTAGAGCTGAAGGCTGCTGTTAGACCAGTGGTCCCCATCTTCAGCTGCGCACAGGTCCCACTGAGCCTCCTAGACAAGACCACTTTCTAAACACCACACACAACTCTCAGAGCAGGCACAAGTTCTAGGAACTGAATGGCAGAACTCAGGTTAAGTTCTTTCTCTGAGAAAACAGAAAATAAAGTACATACAGGCATAATCTTCACACAACCAATGTTTATCAAAAGCATGGGGCAGAGTGCTCAGGAGAAAAAGAACAAATGAAAACAAAGACACATCAAACTGGCTCTTACTTCGTATGGCCTTCAAACTGCCTGAGGGGAGCCCTCCCACTGATATCAAAAAGTTGAACTACACCATCTTCACTGCCAGCGACAAGCAATTGACCATCCTGTCGAAAAGTCGCACAGTATGCTGTGTCCTTAAAACGGGAAAAAGTTTTTATGGGTTCTTGAGAGTACCGGCCATAAATGTGGATCTGTAAGAAAAAAAGCAGCACTTCACTAGATGGCCCAAGCTCAGCAGTAAATCCTACACCAAGAACAAAGATGCTCACTATTGTACTTACTCTTGAAGAAGCTGTGACTGCATAGTTATATGGAGGCTGAGGAGAAAAGTGCACTTTGGACACTGCACCAAATTCCTTAATCTGAACAGGAGTCTTAATGAAAAACAAGAGAGTATTGGCAGAGTTAAAAACACGAGCCACACACAGAATTATGCTATTTATCCTTCAGATCGTTTCTTTTTGTTCTAAGTACTAATTAGTAGGCTGTGTTTAGAGAAATATGAGGGAAAGAGGAAGGGTAAAGAGACAGGAAAGTGAAACAACACCCATCCTGCTGCCCATCCCCATACTACCCCTTTGACACTGTGGAAGATAAGCGCAGCTGGAGAGCCGCATCCCGCTGTCTCAGTGGCTGACTTTACTCCAACGCCCAAGAGAAAGAAGAGCTAAGCCTGTATCTACCAACTATGATTCTAAGTTAATAAAAAGATGACCAGACCATAAAACAGATCTACATCTTTCTGCACCCACTAACCCACCTTAGCAATCTCTGCATATAAGCAATAAATTTACATTCCATTTTTATAAAGATTCACCGTAATTTACAGTCCACATCCAATGGACATAATTTTCAAGAATTCCAATATTGCATTGGATACATCAATAAATATTTTTACATGTCTTAGTATGCTTTAAGCCATGAGTACAAAGCAAAAACAATGTTTTTATAAAATCATGACAGCTACTGTCAATTGCCCTTTTCAATTCCTTTTTATTTGTCCCAATATTACAGAATCAACAGTATCTAAACTATTATCTCAATTGGTTTTATCTTGTGGGTTTTTTTAATCTTATTTGTATTTATGTGTATGTGTATATCTGCTCGTCTAAATGTGTGAAATGCCTGCTGAGGTTAGAAAGATACTAGATCCCCTGGAACTGGAGTTAAGAGCAACTCTAAGCTGCCCAGTGTGCTGGGAACTGAACCCAGGTCCCCTGCAAAGGCAGCAAGTGCTTTTTATTTCACGTGGCTGAGACTACCTTCAACCTCCCTGAGTGAGTAAGGATGACTCTGAACTTAGCATCCTGCCTCCACCTCTCAAGTGCTGGGATTACAGGCATGTACCACTAAATAGGTTTGTGCAAGGACGGAGATTGAACCCAGGGCTTCATGCATGCCAGGCAATTATTCTACTAACTGAGCTATAGCCGTTTTTAGTCTGTGAGTAAGGCTCAGTCTCTTTATATTTTTATTATTAGATTATATTTCATTTCCCCCAAACCTCCTAGTTCTAAACTTTTTCTAGTTTTCTAGGTTCTCAATCTAAACAAAACTAAACAAAAAGCATTCCAAGTCTTATTGGAAAGTACAGAGAAGCTAATTTCAGAGTAAGAAAAAGCAGGAAAGTCTAGAGTTTCATTTGCCATAACACACGTCCTGTGTTAAGCATCTGCATGGTTAGTATAATTAAGTGGTATGGACTTTTACATGAAGCACTAAGATAAAACAGATAACAAATTATCCACCTAAACTATTAGTTTAGTTAACGGTTCTGCCAGCATAAACTGGAGAAACAGACATAAACAGATAAAGAAATGTGCAAACTCTGCCTCCCTCATCTCCTCTTGTACTTTACCCTATAATTGCTCCAGTACAGAGTGTCTTGGGTGATTTTTTCACCAAGTACAGGATACGTCTGAATCGCTACAGGTTTATAACCGGCCATGATTTCATATAGTTGAGCTGTTGTCCAGGGGTCAACAGTCTGGAACTGATGTCAGGATAACTGCAGGACTCTGGCTTATGCCTGGAAGAAGAACATATTTTAAAACACATATTGTTTATAAACGTTCACATACAAGTATGAGTTTCCTTCCACTTTCTTCCAAAAGGCTATGTGGAACTTCATAGATTAATGACCAGTAAATCATTTCACTGGAACCCTAGAAGAGAGAGACACTTGAACAATATAGACCAGGGTACCACATCACACCATCTGTACATATTGGCTGTATATGTGTGTCCTCAAACCTTCAAGACCAGTCTGCAACTCTTGAGAAAAAATATGACTCAGCCTTCCAAGAGTCAAACCAGAAAAGCATGCAGACCTAGAATACTTATTTCATTGGCAAAAGAAATAATAAAGAATTAGAAATATAGTTATCTCTACAGACTTGACCCTTTAAAAAAAATGTCAGGAAGGAAAACAAAGCTAATATTTTAGTGTAGACACAATGAATTTAGGAATAATCTTCTGACATAAGACATAAAATTAAATGTTAAAAGGTTTAAACTTTAAGATAGAAAACTGAAATAGAATAAACTCAAAATGGTAGAATAAGATTTTAAAAACAAATTCAAGCTCTTTACATGCAATGACACCAAAGCATCTTCTGTGAAGCACCCAACTGAAGACAGCCAAGTCTACCAGATATGGTTCCAGCGATGCTACTTTCCATCCACCCTGAAAAGCCTGCAAAGACGCCATCAGCAGCACCAAAACAAACAGTATGACATGCTCTGACTGCTGTTTTGATTCAGCAAAGCAAACCAAGATTCAAGGGAAAAACTTCTCTATTCAATAAAACACCTACGATGTATAAGAGAGTATTCAAAACACTGGGAATACTAGGACAATAAACAGACATGATCTAAACCTTCAAATACCCGAAATAACTGGGCCTATCAGGAGTCTAGACTTAGCTTTCCTCCTCATTCCTAAAAAGAATCAAAGAAACATCAAGGTCTCATCCCGCAGCGGCTTCTTTGTGTGCACGTGTGTGCAAAGCTAGAGTCTTTCTCTATGGTGCTGCACCTTATTTCCGAGACAGGATGAGGTTTCTCATTGACCACAAAACTCACCAACTGACAATACTGCCAAGCCAGCGAGCCTGGCTAGCAAGTCTGGGAGATCCTTTTGTCTCTGCCCCCCAGCACTGGAATTTTAGGCACACTCCAAGCCCTCCTTTTTACCTGGGTGCTCAGGATCTGACCCCACTATAATTCACTAAAACATCTCCCCAGCCCTTAATCTCTCAAATATTTCTAAACCTAAATTCCACTTAACCCGAGTTCAACTGCACTTACTCGTGTCTTTTTGATTATGGAATAGAAACAATGCCATTTGAAAGTCTCCTAGACTCCTCTATCCATCTTCCAAATAGTTACCAGTGTTGCTACAAAACTGAACACTGTCCAGAAAATGAAGCCCTAGCTTCTTAGCATGCAAGGTTCCATTTGCTCTGGCCCTTTAAGTGTCACCTCTTGCTATTACCAACTGTTTACGGTTCACTAAACTCGGCACTCTCATTCCTTCTGACTTCAGCATGTGCTCTCGACCAGGAAGGACATTTCTCCATCCACCTCCTATTTAAGATAGCCACAGGAAATCAGACTGTCCTTCAGAAATCCCTCTCTGCCTTCTGAGACTGGGTGCTCTCTCCCACGATCCTTTTTGGTTCTATTTCTGTAAATGTACTTAGTCACACCGCACTGTAATGGCCTCTTTTTCCAGTTAAATAAAACAATATACTGGAAATATTTGTTTGGAAAAATGCTCAAACGACGATCTTTTTATAAGGGGGATAGGAGCATCGTGTGAATTCCTATTGGAAAATATAAAATCAAAATCAATAGTGGTCTACAACAAGAACAAAGCTGTACAGTGGGCATTCAAAAACACTCTCCATCAAGGGCAAGATGGTAAATATTTTAGACTTGGCCAACCAACAAGCAAATACATACATTTCATATAATATATATTAATATAGTTAATGACTTACAAGAAAAATTTACAGTGTTTACAGTAGGCTTCCCCAATAATCACAGATACAACCTTTGGTGTTGTCGTTGTTGTTTGTGAAAGAGAGTAGAATTCTTTGAGGTCAAGGGCTACTTCATTTAATTCCAAGCCCAATCACTCTACATAGGGCACAATGTTTACCTGTTAAAAAAAAATTTGTTTTAGTTCACTAGATACACAAAAACCGGCATTGTTTAGATCCAAGGAAGAGTACCTCATAAGTCTATTTTTTCTAGAAATAAAAGCGTCTGGAGGGAAGAAGTGAAAAGCAGCGGTGACCTGCTAGATTGCAAAAATGAAGAACGGCGTTGGTGGGAAGTGTGCGGGAAGGCAGTGCAAACAAATAGCGAGATGTCATGACAACGAATGGAAGCCGGAGCCAGAGCCTAAAGAAAACTGGGGTTCAGTGAACAACAGGCATTACTACAAAACAAAACGTTCAAATAAACTCTGTAATTAGAGCGGTGAGCACACAGAAGAGGAAGCTGTTTACTTCCACCTGGAAAGAGTATGCCAGTTCAGCGGGGTCTGTGAGCATAACATGACACGATGGGCATCAAAGGAGCAGGGCGCAGGGCAGAGGGAGACGAATACCCAGCCATTCTCCAATCACTAAGACAATTCTGTCCTTGGTTTTGGAGAAGAGCAGGTTACTCCAGGGACTGTCAGCGGCGGCTAGGAGAGCGACTACGGAGAAACAAACAGAGCCTGGGAGAAATTAAATCGCAAGGACCCTCGGAGGCAGGTAAGTTCGGTGATCTCCTGCGGAGCCTGGGCAGCACGTCCAGCATGTCAGAGATCACAGTGGGACCTGAGCAAGCCTGCGCCGCCACCGGGAACCACCATCGCCTACCTCCGCGGGGCCCCGCGGGTCCGCCGAGGCACCCCGATTCCCAGGACGAGTCCCCTGACTTGGCCAGCTCCCTACAGGAGATGTGTCTGAAGCACTTGCTCAAACTCACGCGGACGCTCCAGGAGCCGGAAACGCACAGGCGCAGGAGTGCGTCGCGGGCAGATGACGTAATGGCGCATGTGCAGAAGCGGTGCGCGACCCAGAACTACAAGAAAGAGCGCTGGTAGGTGGAGCAGCCGGGGAGGGATCCCGGGCCTTTCTCTGGTGACCCGGAACCGAGAGGACCCTTAGTGCTCTGAGAGCCTCGACTGCGGAGCGCAAGGGAAGCAAGTAGAAATCCCCGGAAGTCGTCTCGCCTACGCTGAATGCTCTGGGCTTTTTCCAGAAGAGGAAAAAATAGGAAGTGACGTCTGGGCCCGAAGCAGGCCGGGCTTGCGGACCTTTACCGATCGGCTACTGGCCCCGGCCGGACCGGAGCATCGCCTGCGGTCTGGGTGGTCGTGCCACCCGGCGGACGGTCCCTGTCCCGGGATCTGCTCGCCACGCGAGAGCGAGCTCTGCCCGCGGAGACAGAGCGGGAACGCCCTCCGGGACACCTGTCGCTTGTGAGACAGCTTTCATTTAAAATATATATAGCACCTTTCTCCTCTCGTGGACAATTTCAAGAGTTAGGAAGAACGCGGAGCCCCTGCGGTTAGCTTCGCCGGAGTCGGTGCCCACTGCCCGCGTTTAGACTCCCTAAGCTTCCCTTAGCCCTGGCAGGTGAGCCTACCTACCCTTTTATGTTAACTCTTTCTCGTCCTCTGTCATTTCGTTTTTCCCTCTCCTGTATTTCATGTTTTGGCATATCAACGTCTTTGCTTCTCCCTGGAGTAGAATCTAGATAAGCGTTCCCTCTGCATTCCCTGTTCTCCCTTTAAAGACCGGTAATTCCGCATGTTGAAACCTTGACTTGTCCTAGAGGGGCTGCAAAGAACATTAGAGATGGCTGTTTTTACTCAGTTTCATAAATGATCGAGTCTCGGGAAATTTATACAATTTGTGTTCTAGCACATCTGATTAGTGCGTGTTGAGAATGGAGAACCAGATCCAATTAGAAAAATGTGAGAAAGGAAATGTAAAACATGGTTGAAATTAAGATCAGAAGACATGGAGCACCAGGTAGGCCTTGTGTGCTGTGGCCTCGAAGAGTGGTTTTAGCACCAGGCGCACGCCTTTAATCCCAACACTCCTGGGACAGAAGCAGGCATATTACAGTGCGCTCTAGGCCAGCGAGCTCGACTTTAAAGTCAGACCTTGTCTCAAAAAAAAAAAAAAAAAAAAAAAAAGGCCTCCATCTGTCCTCCTTAATAGGAATTTGAAGGAAGCTGTCAAAGGAACACGTGCCATCCCCTCAGGGAGATGGCGGGCGGGGTTGGAGGTGGGGGGAGGGGGGATGGGATTGCTCTCAACCCACCAGTGCCTAGCAATAAATGGTTCTTCATGCGGTGTCTATTTAAAAAGACTCGGTCTTCTCTCTATGTCTCCATCACTCAGTCACTGAACTAACTTTCTGTCTGGTTCTGACAAAATGTAACGACTTCGTTGATACTTTTTCTGACTATAGTGTGTCTTCATTTCTCCCCTGGGAGTTTTCTATTCTTTTATTGCCGCTTATTCATTTAATGGGCGCAGTGCTGGAGTTGGTAGAGCAGGGTGTTTCCCAGGATTCCTCTGAGGTGAACATAATTACCTGCCCATTCTGCTCAGAAAATTGTAATGAGGGTCAATCTGTTTTTATGAGTTTTTTGAAAAAGGGTTTCTCTGTGTATCCCCTTGGCTATCCTGGAACTCACACTGTAGAACAGGCTGGCCTCAAACTCAGAAATCGCCGGCCTCTGCCTCATGAGTGCTGGGATTAAAGGCGTGCACCATCACTGTCTGGTTATTTATTTTTTTGTCTCTTTTAAGGATTTTGGAGTCTTTCGATTTTGTAGCTCTGACTGTCCTAGAACTTTCTATGTAGACCAGGCTGGCCTCGAACTCCCAGAGATCCCACCTCCCTCTGCCTTCCAAGTGCTGAGGTTAAAGGTGTGAGCCATCACACCTGGCTTGTATACTGTTACTCATATGTATGTTTTCAGGACTATTCCACCTATTCCATAACCAGTTGGTGTGCATGTCTCTGTGGAAGACTGCTTTCCTGCCCTCTAGTGCTTCATGCACAGCAGAATCAATCTTTTGAAATGATTTTAAAATTAAAACTGAACAGTGGGCACATGATTAATTCATTTTTCTCTTAATTCCAAGTACTTCTGATCATTGCACATTGAGCACCCTTTCAAAATGTCCAAGGTGCAATGTGCTGTCACATGACAAAAACTAACTGGATGTTCATTTCTTCCTGTTTCAAGGAACTATGTATTTAGGACTTTTTTATCCTGTGATGCCAGTCCATAATCTACAGATTTTATTTTTCGTTTAAACTCACATGAAGTTGTTTATGTTTACTCTGAAAAAAAAAAGGTTACAAATATACGTTTGATTCTTTAAAAGTAAATTTTGTAGGCCTGGAGAGATGGCTCAGTGAGTAAAGACACTTGCTGACCAGCCTGATGACCTGAGTTCAGTCCCTGAGACACATATGATAGAAGGGATTGTCCTCTGACTTCTACATGCATCCTGTGGCCCATGTGTTCCCACACACATGCAAACACATAAGTGGAATAACTAACTTTTAAGTAAGTTTTGTAACATTTGGCAATAGTCAGATATAGGAAAGGGTAGAAACGACTAAAATGTGTTGGACACAGTGATGGAGGTCTACTGTATTTCCTCATCCTTTTCCAGGATCCTGTGAGTTAATGGCGGTATCTCTTTTTACAAATGAGACTTTGTCAGGTTCAGTAACTCTTACACATCACACAGCTAATGGCAAAGCTTGAGTTCGTAGGCAGATACCTACCTCTGAATGTTGTGTATTATGGATAAAGGCTCACAAGAACACTGTTTGGATGTGTGACTGACAGCAATTGCAGGTATATGTTCATAAGTTAGTATGCTGCTTTAAATTTTCTAAATTTTTCCTTACAGATATTTTAGTATCCCAATTCCAAGAATACACTGGATCACACCCTTGAAACACCAAGAAGAAACTATGAAGAACTGCTTTAATTATTGAAACCATGGCTACATCAGCAAATCTGGACATTGGGGCCCAGCTGATCGTGGAAGAGTGCCCCAGTAGCTATAGTCTCTCTGGCATGCCAGACATCAAAATTGAGCACCAGCTGGACCCAAACTCAGAAGAAGGGTCAGCTCAGGGTGTTGCCATGGGAATGAAGTTCATATTGCCAAACCGATTTGATATGAACGTATGTTCTCGATTTGTGAAGTCCTTAAATGAAGAGGATAGTAAAAATATTCAAGATCAAGTGAACTCTGACCTGGAAGTGGCGTCTGTCTTATTTAAAGGTTGAAAGTTATGGTCCAGCTCCCTACATTCCCTTTCATTTCCTAGAAGTTATGGTCCAGATCCCTGCATTCCCTTTCATTTCCTGAGAGTTATGGTCCAGATCCCTGCATTCCCTTTTATTTCCTGGAAGTTATGGTCCGGATCCCTACATTCCCTTTTCGTTTGCCCTGCTCCATTTTGGTTTCTCTGCCATGAGATCAGAACTAAGGAAGAGCCTGAAAGTCATCTTTTAGGAAGATTTTCTAGAATCTCACAGAAACCAGCATGAAGTTTCTGTTAATTTTCAAAAATATTCCTTGTCTAAGCAGGTGTAGTGATGCATGCCTTTAGTTAGTCCCGGCACTTGAGAGGAGAGGCAGGTGAGTTCAAAGCCAGCCTAGTCTAGATAGTGAGTTCCAGGCCATCCAGGGATACACAGTGATACCCTGTCTCACAAATAAATAAAATCTTTGCCTGACCTTTATTTACAATTTCCCTAATGCAGTTGTTCTTAGTTGTGTCTTTTTATTTATTTCTTGTTTTTTTGAGACAGTTTCTTTGTATAGCCCTGACTGCCCTAGAACTAGCTCTGTGGACCAGGCTGGCCTTGAACTCTCAGAGGTCCACCAGTCTCTGCCTCCTGAGTGCTGGAATTAAAGATGTGTACCACCACCACCCAGCCTAGTTGTATGTTTTTAAATAATAGAACATTATTCCTTTTCTTTTTTTAAACTTTGTTTACTATTTCCTGTTTCATGACCAATTTACATCTGCTTCTACTACTTAATTTAGTGATCTGTCAGCATACTTTAAAGTTGCTTTGTAATCTGTTAATCTTAAAGCTAGCCTCAATAAAATTTTTCAACATTGATTTCTTTGTAGAACTTACACTGTAGTAGTATAGACCAATACAAAATTAGTATCACCTGATAAACACTTGAATTGAAGCTGTTAAACCTCATACATTTTTTCATGCGAACATTGACACTTTTATTAGAATGCTTTGTCATTAAAATACTATTTTAATTTGTTTATTTAGCTGAGTGCAATATCCATACATCTCCTTCTCCTGGAATTCAAGTAAGGCATGTCTACACCCCTTCTACGACGAAACATTTCTCACCCATAAAACAGTCTACGACTTTAACCAACAAGCACAGGGGAAATGAGGTCTCCACCACACCTCTGTTAGCAAATTGTAAGTATGCGAAGAATGTTCTGAAGTATTACTGCTAGTGTAATTAACTAATGCAGTTACATATTAGGAGTTTGGCTTTGAAGTAGCAGTTTCACTAAATTTAAACAATCTAGTTTTAAAAGCTTAAGTGATAGATTCACTTTAATAAGTTGAAACTTTTTAATGTGTTTTTATATGTTTCACTGTTATATCTCTATGCAAACAAATACAGTTTAAAATATTATTAAAACCTTTATAGTTTTACCATAAAGAAGTGCATTACTGTGAATTATTTATAAATTAAGATATCAATGTTTTTGTATTCTTTGGGTTTCATGTTTAACTTATATAATGTTTAATTTTGTAAATATGTACTTATTTCACAGACGAAGAAATATTTTGTACTAAAAATTAAATAATTTCTATTTAAAAACCTTTGAGTGCAAGTCATTGTATAGGATATAAAGTTTCTCTATTAGCTAATAGTTATTCAGGGAAGCATGAGTATTTGAATGAGAGA